GCCATTTGTCCTAATTAAATCACAAAATTAATGCATGTACATAGAAAAAAATGTAAGTATCCAAAGAAATATGTATGAAATTTGTACGTGATCAGTCAAGGCATGTCCAAGATACAGGTGCAAAAGAACACACAAATTATTAAATTATTAGTCCTTGTTTTTGGCTTCATTCGTCCAGGGACACCAAATTATTACTGTTATTATTATGATATACCAGCAGCATGGGTTAGGTGTTTAATCACTGTGATATCACTTATTTTGTCTTGTTTTAAGCTCAAAGTCTGACTGGTGCAAAAAAATGCCCTGGAACATGGAACAAGAGAGTACTATTGTCTGATAAATCTATCCTAATGACATAAACACAATGTCTAAATATGGGTAGTGGTATGTTATAATATACAATAAATGGTTTTTGTGCACTTTAATTGTACAAATGTACAACTAACACATGCATATATATGTATACAGTAAATCATTAAGACACTTTCTGTGGGTATTTGCAGTGGAGGAAATAAAATACAAACTTACAGGCTCCCAATAATTAAATGTCTCATCACAATCGGAGATGTTGCTAAGTAACGCTGCTGAGAATCTAGCAGAGATGATTATCTTGAAAGCAGTTTGGGCTTTAGGTGTCCAACATTGTAACTGACTCGTGTCAATAGTCCTACTGGTAGACCTGTAAAATAGACAATCATATATTTCAATAGACCATTTTCCATTCACTGCGAGAATCACACGTTATGTGTGAAATCGAACGTAAAAACAGGACAAGCAAAGGTCATAGCGTCATAGTGGCTCCAAACATCGCTTGGAATTTGACAAACGCGAAAGTATTTTGGGGGATAGTTCCATGCTTAATAATGTGCTGTCCACATGTGATGATAGGCAATTTCGATTAAGTGAGGGTATTTGGAAGCAATATTCCTCTGTCGAAGATCGGACGGTCGATGTGAGCTACGAAATAAAGAAATTCTAGTTCAAAATCAAATCATTCGATTGTTGCGGCAGACGTTCGACGCGCGTCTTTCATGCATCTCGCGAGATCCCGCAATTGAATGGAAAATCACCTATTACAAGTTCACATTGACACAAGGAGATACCGGTTAAAAGTCAATACATGCCCTGAAAGTGAAGATGCCAAAACTGTGCACATTATTTTATACACGTGCACATTACAACAATAAAAACAAAATTAAAAGCAACTCAAGTTTGTTGAAAGTAGGTTTTACAAATAAAAATGTTGATTGATTTAGTACATGTATAATAATAGAGAGCCACCGTGGAGAAAATTATATTATTATTTTTCAAAAATCAACACCACGCAATGTTTAAACAAAAATATCATTTTTTGTTGCTTTTTGAAACCCACATTTAAAAAATAATTCAGAATAACAAAAAGTAGCCTATCAGTCAAAACGTATTTTTTTTACTATAATTCACCAGCCTACAACTTGTAATATGGCATAATATCTCAACCATAAAACCCAGGGATTTTTTTAAAACAAGGGAACAGGGGTGCAGCGCACTCATGCCATGGCCATGCGCCCCCTTACCCTGGGGAGCAGATCCTCTGGCAACCATGAAATTCTGACTGACCAGAGATCACATGTAACTCCAAGATACAGTGTGGATATCTATCTAGTTTTTACCTATAACTTGATTCCAAAAGAGGACAAATATATACAAGAATTGGAATAACATAGTACTCGCATAATCTGATTTTGGATTTATTAGTCCTCCATTATCAGATTTTATTTTTCTATAGGTCAAACTAACCCACGAGGTCACACAAACAAAGCAAAAATGTGACCTTTGATTTATTTGCAAAGGCATTGATAAAGAATTACATTTTAAATTTCTTCTTCTTTATGTTTTCAATTTCTCCCATATTTCATGTTTTCAATTTCTTCCATATTTAATTTTTTCAATTTCTTCCATATTTCATGTTTTAAATTTCTTCCATATTTCATACTTTTTCAATTTCTTCCATATTTCATGTTTTCAATGTCTTCCATTTTTCGTGTTTTCAATTTTTTCCATATTTCATGTTTTCAATTTCTTCCAAATTTCATGCTTTCAATTTCTCCCATATTTCATGTTTTCAATTTCTTCCATATTTCATATTTTTTCAATTTCTTTTCGTGTTTCCAATTTCTTCCACATTTCATGTTTTCAATTTCTTCCAAATTTCATGTTTTCAATTTCTCCCATATTTCATGTTTTCAATTTCTTCCAAATTTCATGCTTTCAATTTCTCCCATATTTCATGTTTTCAATTTCTTCCACATTTCATGTTTTCAATTTCTTCCAAATTTCATGTTTTCAATTTCTCCCATATTTCATGTTTTCAATTTCTTCCAAATTTCATGCTTTCAATTTCTCCCATATTTCATGTTTTCAATTTCTTCCATATTTCATTTTTTCGATTTCTTCCATATTTCATTTTTTCAATTTCTTCCATATTTCATGTTTTCAATTTCTTCCAAATTTCATGTTTTCAATTTCTTCCATATTTCATGTTTTCAATTTCTTCCATATTTCATGTTTTCAATTTCTTCCATATTTCATGTTTTCAATTTCTTCCATATTTCATATTTTTTCAATTTCTTCCATATTTCATGTTTTCAATTCCTTCCATATTTCATGCTTACAATTTCTTCCATATTTCATGTTTTCAATTCCTTCCATATTTCATGTTTTCAATTTCTTCCATATTTCATGTTTTCAATTTCTTCCATATTTAGAGTTTTCAATTATTTCATATACACCACAACAGTTACAAAATCGTGGAAATTCCTAGCAGTGAAAATTAAAAGCTTTTCGGTATTATGGGATAGACATCCATTAAGAATGGAACAATATTTGAGAAGCAAACACAAGTCACGCTGTTGTCTCGCTTTCAATGAGATCTCGGCAGCCATTGCATTATTGACATCATCAACAGCACGTGTTTAATTGGAGGATAGACCTATAAAATTATATGTCCGAAATCGACAAGTTTTCTTATCACTGATTTAATCTACCGCGTTTTCGTCCCTATAGTTGTATTAGTGGCTGATCGAATATAAAGCTCATCAACGCAGCATGGCTTTGGGACTACCCTGGCATGGATACTGTTACTACGAGTGACCTCCCTGGTACGTGGGTCAAGTATACGTCGCAGATGCAACGAACGAGCCTCCCAGCCCTCGCAATGTGTTCGTATATGTGTTTTAGTATCATACTAATAGTATCAAGATAATCTGGCTACAAACCTCTCACTTTCTCGCACAATGCTTCGTTTTGACTTTGAGCCATGCGATCTCGTCCTCAAACCAACTGCAGCCATTTTGCTTTGTTGTTACCCCAGTTTTCTTCGCTGACCGATGATGGCGTCCTTTCAATTGCCCTTCACATCGTTTATCCAACATAGCAGATTTGTTGTAAATTTCCAAATTGTTCGTGTTGTTCATTGAGGCTTGAATTGGGGGTTTTACAGTCAAGGAACAGTCCCATCATTTGCTCATCTTTCATGGACTCACAGTACATCAGGGGTGTATCTATTTATGTCAATACACTGGTAAATTCATGATCCACTGGAATGATATGCACCAGGTCAGGTGATATTACTACTGGTAACACCTGAGCGGAGCGAAACGACTACTCGACGTAGTCACCAATGATGGTTACAGTGAATGCAAAGTAATACACTGCAAATGTTTTCATTTTAAAACTGTCGCCATATACCTGTTCTGCGGTTCGGTACAGTTTAACAGAGTCGTGTTTTTTGCTGTCTTGAAATTATGTATAATATGTAGGTGTACTAGTGTATACATGCCTGTGTTAAGTTCAGTAGACAGTGGCGGATATAGAGGGTTCTTGGGGTCCGGACACCCACCCCCACCCCCGTCCGTTGAAAGATTTATTTAATTCGTTTTTTGCATAATATGATAAAATCATTAACTTAGTCTGGCGATTTTAAAATTTGGACCCCCCCCCCATAAAAAAAAATCTGTATCCACCCCTGGTAGACCACAGTTTATGTATTCACAGTGTGATTCCATACATACTGTACTACACATGGTGATAAGGGTGGGGCTTTCTTATAAATTTGTTTTATGGGTGGGTTCTTTCCAATCGGATTCACCTGCATTTCTACGATTGGGTTTTGGTTCGCAATCATTCTTTATGAAACTATTATGCAAGCTCTGAGTAGAGGGGGCACGGGGGATAGATGGTACAGGTTACAGAGAATAAGCCGGCAATTTACGTTTTTACAGGTAAGAAAATAAAAGTTCTATTTACAGTAGAAAATTTTGTTTACACTTTACAGCAAATTCCTAATTACATTTTACATTTTTATAATATTTTTGATAATTCGAGTTAAAGAATCAAAATTGAAAATTGCGTACAAATTACAAAGTAACATAGAAGCAATAAAAACTAGAAGTGTTTATGCATTTGGGTAAAACACATTATTAACTTCAACAAAATCATAAATTATGACAATTTTCTTGAAAATAACTTCTCTTAATTCTTTGTCATTTAGTTCTGAATCAGCCTTACATCCATGGAAACAACCAGATTGTATTTTATCCCCGGTGGCGTTATAATTAGTTGATGGCGCTGTTTTATTTGAATCATGTATTGAATAAAACACCCTTAAATTTGCATTTCCCTCACTCGTTATAAAGTTGATAAGCTGCCCGATTCGCAAATCAATATTTCACAGTACACAATTCTCAACATTCTTTCCGGTAATTTTTCAAGTCAATTTTTCATATTATGAAATTCATTAATTTTAAGAAAAATCAAGAAAACCCCCGTACCTGATAATTGTGTATGACATACATAACGTGTTATAATTTAACCCCTAAGAAACGAGCGCAGTGAACAATGACGTCAACACGTTATTTGAAAATGTTCAAATGCAATTTCACCGGCAAATAGAAACCCCTCAGTTCAGTGTGAAAAATTAAATTTATAAATATTTATTAAAAAAATCAAGAGAAAAGGTTTGTGGTCGCGATATCTGAAAAGTAAATATTAATACGCAAACCCATGTTTTTATTAATAAATATTTATTAACCCGTTTTTTCTATTTAAAATTAGTCTCATTCATATTCAAACGAGGCGATTGGATTGGCTGGACAGTTGCATCACGTCATCCAGAGATGCGCTCGCGCACCAAATGAGGCATACTAGTAAGTCAGAACCAAAGTCACTGCACGATATTGGCCGATGAAATATATTTGGAACATTTGTAAATGACGTAATTGCGCTCGTTGACTGACTAGTTTGATTGCACTGTCATTGAAATGTATAAATATTTATAGAATCAAAAGAAGTAGTATGTTGTGTCGATATATACTTGTACATGGATCCCGACTACGGGCAGGTTCTAACAATCTGTGGTAAATGACTTGATTTAATCGATATGATATTTCGGTTTATTTTCGAATAATCAATGGCAAATTAATTGGTTCATTTGAGAATATCGTATACATTTTGCTATTTCATCGCGATAAAGGAAGGTCAATTGTATTCTAGATGGAGTGAATCAGTTGTAATTTACCTATATTACGTTTTCGTAGTTTCGACCATTCATTTTACTCTCCGTTTTTCACAAGCCGTGGAAGTTTTAAGTTTTGAATACACTATATTCCTGATTCCCTGGCATCTCATTGATTTGTGTATGCCAACTTGAGCAGGCGCATGGAGCTACAATTGACTACCAATCGTGTATTTAAGACATAGTTATATGATATATGTAATTGTAATGATATTTGGATTTTATTTTTAAATTTTCAAATTGCGAATATTCAAGTCGTTTATTAAGAACGCCACCATGCGGGCGATGAC